TCCATCATGGCCCGCCCCCATGTGGATTGTTTTTTTTTTTTTTTTTTACTGCAGGAAAGGAGGGTACTTTGCACAGAAGAAAGCAGGAAGAAGGAAGAACTTTGCAAAGGTAGGCATGAGAGTGTGACCTGCTTGGTCACAGAGTGAGAGAAGAGATTTCTAGTCCTTAAGCTAGAAAGAGGGAGTCAGACAATATGGGTGTCAGCCAGGGAGGTGCTGGATGGTGAGAGACCTTGTGTGTGGACTAAATATCACCCATTTGTATGTTGTATAAATACAGGTTACACAGTAGGGCTCCTAGTATGTCAGGTGCTGGAGATACAAAGATAAAATGAATTCATCAATTCACTCATGGAGTGAGTTTTTAAGTACCTACTATGTGCTCTGCAGTTTTTAGACATCAGGGAAACTACAGTGGAGAAAATATAGTCTCTGTCCTCATCAGTCTTACATGAAAGAGTCAGTTAATAAATAAATGAAGAAAAAATGATAGGACTGTGGAGAAAAATAAAGCCAGGGAAGAGGGATGTTGGTGGTGGAGTTGAGGTCTCTTGTTTTATATGGAGTGACTGGCAAAGGTTTCTCTGATCAAATGACCTTCACGCAGAGATGTGAAGGAAATGAGAAAGTGAGCCATTTGTGGGAAGAACATTTCAGGAAGAAGGAAAGTACGTGCAAATGCCCTGAAGCATGGTCAGTGTCCAGTAGAGGACGGTCAGGGGACCAGGTGTTCAGGGTGTGCCTTGCACTACATATACACACAATTTACACTACGGACCTGTGCTAATTTACATGAGCTGGGGGCTTCCTGGCTGGTTTCTGGCACAGCAGGGAGATAGCCCTCCTACACAAGCTCACCAGTCTTGGCCACCCTCCTCTCAGCATGGAAAGACATATGCAGCCCAGCTCTGGCCTGCTGTGCTCTGAGCAGTCCTGGGGCTGCTCTCTCACGTTCCCGCTGCTCTAGAAGCCTCCGTTCCTGCATCTAGCCCTGCTGGTCTCTGACCCTGACACAGCTGCCTTGCCTGGGGCTGCAGAGTGGGCTGTAGATGGTTTTACCTGCACGCGGAGCCAGGGGTGCTCTCAACACTGCTGGTGGTGCCGGGGAAGGGGGCAGGGGCAGGCTCTGTAGCAACTTACTAGCATGAAAACTGCCCTTCCTTCATGCCAGTCAGCCTCGTCTGGGTGACCTTCCGTACCAGGTTGCTCCACACCCTCTAATAGTGCTTATCGGACCTGCTGGTCTGTTTCAAGATCAAGGTTGAAAGGTTAAGATGTCAAGGGCATTCTCAAATACCAAAATATTTTTGGTTTCAACTTTTGTTGTTTATGTGTCTAATATCTGCAGTTCCATCAGAGAGCAATGCATTGATTTAGCCATTTTCAGTCCAGAGAGCCTCGTGCTGCGGTGCCATCAAACCCTTGTCAAAATGCCACACACCGTAGGAAAACACAAAAAATATCTGTGTACTAGAAATAAGTGAAGGGTTTGGCTCTCAGGGGAGACAAGGTGGTATGGCAGATAAAGACGGCTCTTGGAGGCAGAGACTCAAGGTTAAATGCCAGCTTTACTAGCTGTGAGACTTCCAGCAAGTACACCTCTTGGAACTTTAGCTCCTTTTTCTCTAATACAGGGCTAAGACTTCACCAGGTTGTTGGGAAGATTAAATAGAAAACATACAAAACAGTTCACAGTAACTGCAAAGGAAATGCTATTTGCATTTATCCCCTACGTCCCTTTCCTTTCATTCATTCATTCACTCAGCAAGTCTTG